CCCCCAAACCTGGGTCATGGGGAACCCACTGCATCTTTCCAGTCTAAGACCAGCATATTCTCTCCTCCTGCCTCCCTCACCCCAGAGACTGATTCCCGGAGCATAAAGGATCTGTGTCTAGTTCTGCAAAAGAAATAAGGGGGGGGGGAGAGGGGGAAAAGAGAGAGGTACCTTATTCTGTGAGCTTGAATCGCCTTCTCTCTTCATCGCAGCAGTGCCTATTCATCCTTTAATCCTTGGAAACAGAGGCACAATTCAAAACATCTCCTTGCACGAGGTTCTTCCAAACTGCTTCCCATTGCTTGCTTTTTTTTTTTTTTTTAGGAAAAAAAAATCCAAGCAATCTCCCCTCCGTTTTCCCCTTCCTCCTCCAAGCAAGAATCAGGATGATGATTAAAGAAAAAAGAAAAAAAATCACAGCCCCACAGTTTCTCTCCTCTGCACGCTTTGCCGTCTTCTTTTAAAGACCCTGGCGGTGCACTGGTTTGCCTCGGAGAAGCAAGAGCAGCCTCAGATAGAAGGAAAGAACGAAGGAGCGAGTAAGAGAAGGAGAAGGAGAGAAAGAGAAAGAGAGAATGAATGAGGAAGGGGGGAAAGGGCAGTGGGAGGGAGCGGGGAAAAGAGGCAGGGTCTGGCTTCACATTCGTGTCTGATGGGTTCCTCTCTTCTGAAGCCCTGGCCCCCACCCCCTTGGAGAGTAAGAGAGAGGAGGACTTCTGATGCTGATAATGGCCTGTACCAATTTATTCCACTTAAGCAGGGGGGGCAGTTCTCCTACAGAAGGGAAGGAAAACCACGCCAACCTCCCTGAGGTCCCCTCGCCAAATTGGTTTCTGCTCTGCCGATTTGTCACAGCATCTCTTGCTGACCTTAATGCTGCTGGAGTCTGTAGGAAATGCTCACCGAAATCAGTAGGAACGACGACAACAATGGCAACAAGAACACGACCGACCGGGCACCAGAGAAGAAGGGGTATGGGGGAAATTCTGGGCTTGGGGGCAGGGGAGACTATGAGGTTGGAGACCAGCTCAGAAAGCTCTCTCTGGCTAGCCAAGTTCCTGGCTGGCAAATCTATCTCTTTCAGTTGCAGTTGGCATGGTTGAAGCTTAAGACACTGGCTCTTCGGAAGCCCCAAATCATTATAACCCTCACTCTTTATTTTTTGCAAGAGATTATCACTCTCATTGTGTAAATCTTCTGTTTGTTTCAGTTCTTCCTGACCCCAGTGTGCCTGATCTGTCAACTACATAGGAAGAATGGGTTGGTACAATACTAAGGGCTAAGGCTAACATATCTGTGCTGTAAAAGTCCAGATGACCCCTAGGCGGCAGCAAACAGATGCAGAAACCCAACCCTCTTCTTCCATTTGGTAATCATCCAGATTATTGAAGTTCACAGATGATACTTCTCTTAGGAGTTCTTCAAACTTCCAATTCTGCTTTTCATGTAACAGGATAGCCTTTTTCTTAATGCTGACCATTGATATCAAGTATGACAATGACAGCCGTTCCAAAATAATTTATTTTGGTTTGTAGTGGATAGGATAATAATTCACTGGTTTGCACAAACACCCCAGGTCCACCGATTTTGCCTTCCATACTTGAATCTGGGAACCAGAAGGTGGAGCTGAAGAGTAGCTTTATAAGTGGTGAGAGTGGAGAGTGAGAGTTATGGAAGAAGTTTATGGAGGTTCTCCAAGTTGCAGGACCATGGACAGAAAACAGGAAGAAGGTCCACAGAGCTGTCCAAGCAGTGGAGGGCTTTAAGAGCAGATGATTGGCTTGTAATCCTACTGCTATGGCAATGTGGTAATGTTTCGGGTTTGAGCATTGAATCTAACATGCACACACATCTCTTTCTGTATTCTCCATCTGCAGAAGAAACTGTTCATAGAGCATGACCTTGTTACAAAATGGGGTGCAGTCTTTTCAGTGGTGAGGATGTCATGCAAGATTCTCTCCAAAACTATGTAAGTCTAGGTCAGGAGAACATAAGCACATTCCAATGAGAAAAAGGAGTCAAGGTAGAAATGTGCTGCAGGGAGGTGAAGCCAGAGGTCTAGGTAGTCTTCTGGACTTCCAGGCAGGTTCCAGAATGTCTTCTGCTCTACAAAGTGGACATAGGCCAATTATTAGAGTCACTTTGTGTGAGATGGGCGGCTATATAAATACAATAAATAAATAAATGAATAAATAATAAATTTCAATTTGCTTTCAATGAGAGGGAATGCATTTTTAAAAAGTATTGGGAAATGAGGGGGGGGAAGTGGATTATTACTTTTTTTTCCTTCCTTGCCAGTTTGTTGGCAGTTCCATGTTCTCATCAGTGTCATATTTAACTGATTATTGATCTCTTCTTTTAAAAAAATAGTGATCTATTATGGAATGAGGGTTTGTTTGCTTTTTGTTTTTTTGCTCCTTGTGATGATGGCTTTCCTTTTCACAACTGACATGAAGAGGACTAGACCCGGGCTGAATTTCTCACCAAATTCTCATAAGTAAAATAATATAGCTATACCCGTGTCACACTTTTGATAATGCACCAGATGGTAGGTGAAGATTTACAGGATGGAGAGAGGAAAAAAAGATTCCTGCTTCTATGCTGGGGAGAAAGGAATCCTCCTAACACACTGACTTGCTATGTGCAAGGAGTTACAGTATTTTTGAAAGGCGAGTGAATTGCAGAGTCACATGGTTTCAGACATGAAGCTTCAAACATAATGGTGAGGAAGAAGATTAATTATTGCTAATAGAAGGTAAGCCATAGAGATTTTTGAAGGCACAGGCAAGGAATTATTCTGGATTCAGAAGGGGAAGAGGCGATGGGGTAAAGTCGCAGAGGCCAATTGTTTGCAGAAGCTTTCAGACTGAGTCAGATTACAAGCAATGAGAACTAATTCTTGTCTGACATATAGGGAAATTTCTACCAGATGGAAAAATTAGTCTTCCAATTCAGTAGTAGGAAAAATCCTTCAGAGAGCCTTGGACTCCTCTAACTATTCTCTCTCTGAAGCTAATAAACCCTCTGGACAAAAGCGCCAGCAAATCCTGCCTTCACTGGTTTTCCTAAGAGTAGGTAAAGCCGATCTTCAGACATTCATTCTCTCTGTCTTCCCATTGAATGTGACTCACCATCTAGTGCTCCCCAGAGTATCTCTGCCCACAAGCCAGCTGGAGCCCAAACAGAGAGCAAATGGTTGTCTCTTTTTGCTTCTTAATAGCTGTAGTTTCAGAAGTGGAGCAGAGAGACTGATCTGGAGAGGTAACTTTGGAAGAGAAATAATGAACACTTGCATAAGGATGCTCTTTCAGGCAATGATAGCACTTTTTCTTGGAAACACTTTTATGCAAAAGCAAATGGAAAGGCCACTGCCAGCTCCACCCTCCCTCCTTGCCATCATACTTCTCACTTGCCCAACTGATGGTTCAGAAATATCATGGTGGAAAGCTAAACAACAGAATAAAACTGGCTTTACCTAGGAAGTTCAGTGGAATACTGAGAAGCAAGTCTTTGGAATAAAAGGTCTCTCAGGAGACTGTACCAAAGGACAGCATCTAGGAATTTGGATTCTGAAAATTATGGGGTGGTTGAGCTAGACATGGGTAACCATAACACTCCAGCTGAATTTTCACATGGTAAACCAGGCCACAATAGGATTTGAGAGTTTGTGGTTGAACAAGATGAGAGAACCCACAGACAAGCAATCAGGTCCTTGAATGAAACTATTTTCAAAGCAGAAGATGGTTCTCATAACAAAAGATGGTTCCCAAAATAAAAGAGAGTTCCCATGTGAGCTGAATGAGGCACTCAAATAGAGAAGGGCCAAGAGGTGTCAGAAGACTATGAAGCTGGGACTGGTCAAGAACTGATGGAAGTTATAAAAAATGAATGGGAAGTGTCATAGTTTGGAGCCATCACATACAATAAGATACCATACCCTATGAGCATCCCACAGGGGTTCTTCAAGAACTCAAAATCCTTTGGAACATATGTATCTCTGACCACCACACTAAGTCCATTGAATCAGTGTTATACTGCATCAGTAATGGAATACAGGAAATTGGAGCATTGGTCTGTCTGATCCAGCATGCCTTATTTATTTATTTATTTATTTATTGGTAGATCACTTCCCATTTTTAAAAAAAGTATGTCAAAAAAGTTTAGAATGAAACTCAACGATGAAAACAGCTGTTTAAAACAACTGAGAAAGGCATGCATTAAAACATCACAGAAAATATAAAACGAGGTAATCCATAAAATAAACAGTCAAGTGATATCAGAAAGAAAAAGCAGTTATCAAAGACCACTGGGTGAATCAAAATGTCCTTGTCTGGTGCAGAAGACAGACAATAAGGACAGCACCAGTGGACCTTACTGGAGAAGACATTTCAAAGTTTGAGAGTATTATTGAAATTCTGGCAGCGACTCTCTAGAAGTTCAGGTAGAAGTTTTTCCAGCCCCACCTGGAGAAGATAGAAACTGAACTTGGCAGCTTCTCTACACAAAGCACATACTTTTCCACTGAGCAACAGCCCCTTCTTCAAAAGATGCCTCACACTTCAAATGATTTATGTAAGTGGGCTAAGGTATATACGAAAGGAGAACTTAACATTCACAACTTCTCTCTTTCTCTCTCCCACACACCCCATTACCACTCCATCATTGTTAGTCACTTTGCCCAGAAAGCACAATCTCTAAGATTAAAATATGTTTCCTCTGCATGAACACCTGTTGACCTACTCTGGCCCACAGATGGATGGGGAAGGTGTGACATGATTGAGACACTATCCCACAAGTGCATCTCTCTGTACATGGCAGATGAATCCATCAGGGATATAGCAAGTGGCCTTCAAACCTTTGGACCTTTTAGTCTAGTAGAATCCCTATCTGGAGGTACTGGGAATAGATCCCATGACCTTCTATGTGCAAAACAGGTGTCCTACCTTGAAGCTGATTGGAAGCTGGTTTTGTTTTGTTTTTTTCCCTTCTGACATTCCAGTTTTCTGTGTGAATAGAGCATCTTAATTCTCCCTTTGCTTGGCAGTTGATTAGCGTAACATGCCTGAAGCCTTCCAGTCCAGGGAAAGACACACCTGTTGCTTATGCAACTGGTTTTTTTTTTGCTATAGTGCACCACCAAGTAAGACAGAGTATTGTTTTTTGCTTGTGGGTTTATTTTGGTGAGTCTTGCTTGGCACTGAATTAAAATCCCACTGAGGACACTTTATAAAGGCGTGTGATTTACTGCTCACCAGGAGACTCTAGTCCCTGAACAATCTCCAT